TTATTAATTTTTTCTACAGTCTTTTTGCTCTCTATTTCATTTAATTCTGCTCTGATTTTTGTTATTTCCTTTCTTCTGCTAACTTTGGGTTACTTTTGTTCTTCTTTCTCTAGTCTTTTTAGGTGTGATGCTAGATTGTTTACTTGGAATTTCTCTTGTTTCTTGAGATAGGCCTGTAATGATATAAACTTCCCTCTTATTACAGTTTTCGCTGCATCCCAGAGGTTTTTATATGTTATCATTCTCATTTGCCTCTATATATCTTTTGATCTCATCTTTTATTTCTCCTTTGACCCAGGAATTCTTAGGAATATGTTGTTTAATCTCCATGCATTTGTAGTTTTTAAATTTTTTACTTCCTTCTTTAAAGTTGATTTATAATTTCATGGCATCATAGTCAGAAAATATACTTGGAATAATTGCAATCTTTTTAAACTTGTTGATGCTTCTTCTTGTAATCCAACATATGGTATATTTTTGAGAATGTTCCATGTGCACTGGAGAAGAATGTATAGTCTGATGTTCTGGGATGAAATGTTCTGTAAATGTCGATTATATCTATTTAGTTTAGTGTTTCATTTAAGGTTGCTAGTTCTTTATTGACTTTTTGTTTGGTTGATTTGTCTAGAGCTGTCAATAGAGTATTAAGGTCTCCAACTATAATTGTGTTTTGAAGTGGTTTTCTACTTAGTTCTGTGAGTAGCTGTTTAATGTATTTCAGTGTTCTCTGGTAGGGCACATATATATTAAGAAGTGTTATGTTTTCTTGATGTAGTATTCCCTTTATCATTATGAAGTGCCCGTCTTTGGCTCTTGTTACCTTGAGATTTATTTTTATCAGATATAAGTATGGCTACACCTGCTTTTTTGGGAATGTTATTTGCTTGGAGAATCATTTTCCACCCTTTTACGTTGAATATACCTTTGTCTCTGCTGTTTAGATGGGTTCCTTGTAGGCAGTATATGGTTAAGTTTTTTTTTTCTTTTGTTTTGTTTTTATCCACTCTGCTACTCTGTGTCTCTTTACTGGTGAATCTAGACCATTTACATTTATGGTAATTATTGATGTATGAGAATTTTCTATAGCCATTTTATCTTTTGTTTTCTGGTAATTCTGTGCCTCCATTGGTTCTCTTCCTTTATGCTTCTATCTGTTGTTTTTGTTTAGTAGTATTCCATACATCTTTCCTCTGTTTCCTCTTTTTAAATTTATTTTATTGATTAAGGTATCACATATTTGTCCTCATCCCCTTATTCCCATCTCAAACCCCTCCCCACGCACCCACACATGCCCCCACCCCCCTGTTGTCCTTGACCACTGGTTAGGATGTTTCCTCTTTTTTTTTTTTTTTTTTAACCATATATCTTATTTGGGGAATTTCTGTGCATGATTGCTATTAGTTTTATAAAAAGTGAAGTTGCATATATAGCATCGTTCCCCCCCCCCCCCGCTTTGAATACATCTGATCTTCATCCTTTGCCTATCCATACCTGTCCCTCTTCCCCTTGTATGTTTTTATTGTAAAAAATTATCCCTGTTTATGCTGCAAGTTTTTAGCAATCCTATTGATAGTGTTATGACCTTATGTTCTTCATTTCAGGTAAAATAACTCCTTTGAGTATTTCCTGCAATGGAGGTTTTCTAGTGATAAAATCCCTCAGTTTCTGTATGTCTGGGAATGTTCTTATTTCTCCTTTATATTTAAAGGATAAATTTGGTGGATATAATATGAGTGGCTGATAATTTTTTGAATATTTGGTTCCACTCTCTTCCTGTTTGTAGAGTTTCTGCTGAGAAATCGGGTGAAATTATGATGGGTTTTCCTTTGTTGGTCACTTTCTTCTTTTCCCTGGATGCTTTGAGGATTTTTTCTTTGTCACTAATTTTTGACAGCTTCATTACCAAGTGCTTTGGAGAGGGCCTCTTTGGATTGAGGTAACTAGGTGTTTTGTTTGCTTTTTGGATTTGAGGAGCTAATTCTTTAGATTTGGGGAGTTCTCATACACTATTTGTTTTAATAGACTTTCCATTCCATACTCTTTCTGTTCCTCCTCCACTATGCCTATGATTCTGATGTGGGTTTTTTTTTTAAATGAAATCAGAGAGGTCTCTTATGGCTATTTCATATTTATTTATTCTCAGGTCTTTCTCTTCTTCCCTCTGCATCATTTCTTGATTCCTGTCTTCAATATCACTAGTTCTTTGCTCTAACTGGTTGGTTCTGTTTTCTATGTTCATCAGTTCACTCTTAATTTCTTTAATTGCCTGCTTCATGTCCAGGATTTCTGCTTGATTGTTAAAATGTCAATTTCTTTGTAGAAATACTAATTTTGTTCATTGATTTGTTTTCTGAGTGTGCTGAATTGCCTGTCAGTATTTTCTTGCCTCATCGAGTATTTTCGGAACTGCAATCTTGAAATATCTGTCATTTAGCTTGCATAATTCCATTTGTTACAGCCTGTTTTCTGGGGATTTTTCATTTTCTTTCTGGTCATCGTTGTGATTGTTCATGGATTTTGTTCTTTGTTTTCCCATTTATCTCTGAGTAGGTATTTCTACTCTGTTCCAGTAGATGGCGCTGAATTGCAAGATTTTTTTTTTTTTTTTTTTTTTTTCTTTTACCCCCTCTGTGACCTCAGAGTTTTGAGCCTCTGTGGCTTCTGTAGGGCTGTATTGTCTCTGCTGTTTGGGGGTGAGGTTTGTTTTTCCCTCACAGTAAGGGCAGTCCCTGACCTCCAAGGGTCTAGCCCAAGCACCCCTCCTCCTGGGGTTCAGTCACAGAGGGAAACTGTGTTTCTACTTCAACAGCTCTTGGCCTACAGACAATATACTTCTGGAAACAATCCAAGGGCTACAGGAAGTGAGACCTGGGAGTCTAATCTGTGGCAGGGCTCTGCTATCTACTTTGTTTGCCTGAAAGCCGAAGCCAGGCCCCTTCGTGGGGAGCGACTCTGTAGGGAGGGAGTCTGCTGACTCTCATAGCTTAAGCATGCAACTCAGATCCCATTCACAACATACCCCCAAGATTCAGACATTCTCTCTTACTGTTTGTGTGTGCAACCACACAATGACACCAGTCCAGTGGCTATTCCAACAGTCAGCCACTTGTTGGGTTAGCTATGTTGGTCCAGACCAGCTGAGGAAAATGCCTCTGATTGCTGCTTCCAGTTCCCAGCTGTGCTGCAGACATGCTGCTGTGCTATAGCTGTGGTGTTTGGATTCCCTCCCTTCTCTTGCCTCCCCACTTATTCCAAGGAGCCCATCTTAGTTGTTCCAGTGTATAGGTCTTTCAGGAGTGCATTTGTGTTGAGCAGGCACTTCTTTGCTGAATTATAGGTGGTTGTTTTGTTGAAATGTTAGGGGGAGAGGGTAGACCTGCCCTTACATCACCATTCCTCTGACATCACTTCCTCAAATAATTCTTAAGCACACTAAAACCAGAGAATCACTTTACTGGTGCTCAATAAATGCTTGTTAAACTGAGCATGAAGTTTTTGTAAAGTTTTACTTGTCACCCCTGGTCCGAATGAATTTACAAGGATTTTCAAGGAAGAATAAGAAATAATGGAGTGATCCAGGGAAAGAAGGAAGATGTGACAGTATAAAACAAACAAACAAACAAACAAACAAAAAAAACTTCATTTATAATAATCCTATATAATAAAGAGGGAATATGCTAACTGACCCTCACACCATCACAAAAGATGGTGGCTCCCACAACCAATAAGGAGGGAATATGCTAATTAACTGCCCCACCCTCAAAGATGACAGGGCTCACAGCCACAAGATGGCAGTGCCCAGTCTCCTCAGCCCCCCAGCCACCTAGGGCTAGCCTGAGATTGCAGGAAAGCCTTGGATGGTGGCTTCCCAGATGCCCAGGGCCAGCTGAGGCTCAGGTAACCAGGGCTGGCTGAGGCTTGCGCTACCGGCAGTGATAGCAGTAGAGGTGTGATGGGGGTGCAGCCTTCCCCTGATCACTAAGTCACCTCCCACCACTGAGGTCTCCCAGACTGTGAAAGGGGGCAGGCCGGGTTGAGGGACCCCCTCTCCAGTGCATGAGTTTTCATGCACTGGGCCTCTAGTAAAAGCATAATATGCAAATCTACTGAATGACCAAATAGCAGAATGACTCTCTGGACAACCTTCTGGATGAATGTGCTATGACACACACTGGCTCCAGGCCAGCCAAGACAGGTGAGATGCAATTGGTTAGGTGGCCCTGCCTTCACCCCATGATCGCCCCACAGGAGGCGGCTCAGGCTACCCTATCTGGGGTGAATAATGGAGGGACTTTATGATTGATTGCCCCTTAGAGGGAGGCCCAGACCACTGGCCAGCAGGGTGATCGATGGGGGTGAGGGGCCTCCATGATCACCTCAAAGAGGGAGGCCAAGCCACCTTCTGTGTGGCCCAAGCAAGGTGGACAGGGCCTCCCTCTGCTGGGTGATCCATTGTGCAGCCCTGCAGATGGATCACTCCAAAGAGGGAGGCCAAGACTACCCAGCTGGTGCTGCTGGTGGGTAGGCGAGGCTTCTGATATATCCACCCACAGAGGGATGCCCAGACCACTGGCCGTTGACGCTGTTGCAGGTGTGCGGGGCCAGCCAACAGAGGGAGACCCAGGCCAGCCAAGGGATCACACCCCAGGCCTGTTGCTCACAGAGGGAGGCAACTGGTGGTGTAGGAGGGGAGGGGCAGCACAGCACAGATGGCAAGCAGTGGCAGTGGTGGGGGCAGGGCCAGAGCAGTGGCAGTGGTGGAGGCAGGGCCAGCTGCCAGCAGCCAGGGGAAGGACAGTCTTGATAGACCTTGATCATTGACGAGGCCTAGGGACCCTATCCTTGGGGTCATGGATTGAGAGAGGGCACAGGTTGGGCTGAGGAACACCCCCACTCCTGCAAGAATTTTGTGCACCGGGTCTCTAGTGTCTTAAATAAAACAGAACATTAAAATACCACTTTCTGATTATTTTCTTCTTCAGAATATGGAATTGGACAATATGGAACCTGAATATGTAGAAACTGAAAATATGGAAACAGAAACTATGGAATCAGAAAATATGGAAACTGAAACTATTTCTTCAGTTTCAACTCTGCAAGCCCTCTCTAAACTACTTTATCCTGAAGAAGAGGATGATTTTGAGTCTGAACAGGTGGTTGTATACTTACAGATGAATTAGTTTTGTTCACAATATGCTGTGAAACTGTATTTGAACAAGTTGTTCCAACCTTGCTGTGGGAGTAAGGCTCTGTCATCTGATACATTTGCAGGAAGTTGCAGGGTTGATTATGTATGAGAGTAAAACCTCTAGTACATTTCTAGCAAACATAATTACATTTTTTCTAAGCTACCTGAATGCTAAATAGGAAAATTGTTCAGTAACTATGGTAGCAATAGCTACATTTCAAAATGTTTGTCATTTATATTTATGTCATAGAATGCTTGACAACCATTATACAGTGTGATAGTTAGGATTTTTAAGCCTAGACAGTATTTCTATAGAATAAATAATTTCAACTATACAGTATTAATTATGCCACCCCAATCCAATCCACTTATTCTTTTTCATTTGTCTATAGATGAAAGGAGAACAGAAAATATTTTGATCCAAAATAAGGGGACGAACTAGCTGCAGCCTACTAAAATTGGCCTCTGGGTACATGATTATATAAAGCGGTGGAATATAATTAGGTAGTTGAATAGAATTTGGGGTCAGGACAAGTGACCCCAGGGAAGCTTGCAGCAACAAGATGGGCTTTATTTTGGATAGGAAATTTCCATGAGCTGATCTTTAGCTATATCACGGTCAATGCCAATATTCCCAGTATAATAAAAATACTTTGTATATTTCCTCTTTTTCTACTCTTTAGATATCAGCAAACCTTGGCAATCAGACTGCCTAAGTCAAACAAAATTTGGGGCAGAAACCTCATACTATAGTGGAATATATCACTTTGCTTTCACTTATTTTAATAAAGTTTTTCATTATTATAACCAGTTAACCATGAGCAACCAATCTCCCATAAAAAATGCATATCAATTTGCTCCTCCAAAAATTCTTTTTTGCCATAGTGTAGAAAAACAAGAGGTAGGATATTTAGTGAATTTAGCTTCCACTCTTCAGAAAGCGCTTAGGTGGAACACAAGCAGAATAATATAAATCATGCAAAGGAACCAAGATATTTGAGTAAGGGGAAAGTCTTAGTTGAGGCCAAAAATAAAGAAAAATAGGAATAACATCTTGTATATATGCAATAAATAATACATAGGAGAAAAAGTTAAGAGCATGTGTCAATTAAGTTGGGAAGGCAAGCTCATTTTTGCTATCTTAATTGAAATAGAATAATACATGCTGGGAAAGGCGGGATTATGTCAGATACAAAAGTATACTAAGTATTTTAGAAACAGTACTCTTACATAAAAGGAAATGGAACTTGTATTTGGAACAGATTCAGAGATGAGGAATTACCCTGGTAACAAAGCCCCCTTTGACGTTTAAGTATGGCCATATTTACCTAGAGGTGTTTCTCAGGTAAAGATGAGTGCTTATGAGAACAGAGAAATTAAGATCATTTTACCAAATTGTACAATTTATAGGAGAAAATTACTATAATAATGTGTGAGTCTGTATATCTGGGTTATAAGCAATTCTGAGATAATTGGTCATTCAGACACCTCCGTACAGATATCAGAAGATATAGAATTGGATTATCAAAACAATAGGAGCATAATGAATGTTTTTAATGAACTATTAAATTTTTCAGGAGAGAAATGGTTTTTTATTTTTCACATGTATTTATCTTAGGAACTGTGGAATGATGACAACAGTGATGTGCTTATGAAAATACACTCTCTAAAAACAGCTTTAAAATTGTTCATACACATTGTTTCATTTATACTACCCCCCACTAGAAGAACCTGGGAGATTGGAAAGAGACTATGACTGTTGTTTGTTTTTAAACTTACAAGGGGACCATAAAACCTGTGGGAAATACTGTTCACTATTCTTAACAAACATTGTAACAAAAATGTTCTAACTCTCAAACATATTGCAAAGTGGAATGAATTGCAATGATAAAATTGCTCAGATAATTGGATATGGATTCACAGTGAAGGCTGAAATGATATTCTTATAAAAAAGAGTTGCCAGATGAGTTTTAATGTTTTTATTAACCTGATATATCTTTTCTCTTGAAATTTTTATTTTTAATCATTTATTTTCATTAAGTTAATAAACTGAAACTCCCCCTATGTTCTAGTATACTGAGCCAATCATCACTCTTCATGGACAGCATACCAATTTTTGTCAGAAATGTTCAAGTTTTTACTTCTACAGATTTTAATTTTTCATGGAAGGAGGCACTCAACAAAACAAGAGGTCCTCATGTTCCAAGAAATGCTTTAACCTGATTGACTATTAGTATTCCAATGATTAATAATTTAAGGAAAACACTACAAATCTATATGACCTTAGTGCTTATAAAGAAAAAAAAGTACAAAATATTGTCTTGGGATTTTCATATTAAAATGCCTGTAATACTTTAACCACATACTTAGCACTTTTGAAGCACCTTTTGGAAAGGAAGAATCACTGTCTCAGAAACTGTTGACATGTTATAAATTAATTTTTGATGTACAGCTGTTGGAATAATTTAGCATAAAAAGACCCAGGTGAGCTTTTCCACCAGCTTTCAAGAACAGACTTTATCTTTCCCAAGCAGCACATTATAGCTTTCATACATGTCTTAAATCTCGGGATATTAGTATGGGGACCTGAGAAAGAAGAGCTAGAGATGCTTGTTTGCCAAGATCCAAGAAGATAAGAATTTTTTTTTTTTACTGGAATGAATTGGAACGTGGAATCTGACATCAACAAGAACAATTAGTGAAAAAAAAATGTGTGCATGTATAGGAGGGTAGTTTCTTGAAATATCAGAGAATCCCTGAGAGGGACAAATGAAGTGGTTGCCACTATAATGATGGCATAGTATGTGTTATACTTATTTGAAAAAGGAAAGCTGTTCTTATACTGGTGCATCAGAGGAAGTCCTACTGGAGTATGTATACTTGTGTAGAATATGCAAAATAAACTTGAACTTGTATGAAGACTGTAATGGTTCAGCATATAATTGACTCTATTAATTTGGGATTGCTGTTTAAATCCACTAGTTCAGCATCATCAAGTGGTGGGATGAAGTAGTGTTTCATACCCACAGTGGAGAGAAGTAAAAGCTGAAATCAGGACTTTTGAATTTGAATGAGTCATTTGATGTCTATATACTTAGACTCTATTAGTGGTTTGTTTTTATTTCTATAAAACTTTCCCAGCCATGCTCAGGTTGTTCAGTTGATTTGAATATCATTTCATGCAACTAAAGGTTGCAGGTTCGATTCCTGGTTAGGACATATGTATACCTAGGTTATAGGTTCCATCCCTGTTCAGGGCCTGTATGGGAGACAGCCAATTGATGCTTCTCTCTCAAATAAATCTTTCTCTCCCTCTCCCTCTCCCTCTCTCTCTCCCTCTCCCTCTCCCTCTCCCTCTCCCTCTCCCTCTCCCTCTCCCTCTCCCTCTCCCTCTCCCTCTCCCTCTCCCTCTCCCTCTCCCTCTCCCTCTCCCTCTCCCTCTCCCTCTCCCTCTCCCTCTCCCTTTCCCTCTCCCTCTTCCTCTTCCTCTCCCTATCTCCCTTCCCTTCCCTCTCTCCTTCCCTCCCTCTTTCCCTCCTTCTCTTTCTAAAATCAATAAACATACTCTGTGGTAAGTATTAAAAAAAAACCAAAAACACATTTTCCCATACTTCTATCCCCCATCTAACCATGACCAGACACTGTCAAAATCCAAAAGTGTCGATGCACTTGTTCTGACCTTCAAAGAGATGACTGCGGCTCATTCCACTGTCCTCAGGAATCCATAATTCACTGGGCTGGAACTAGGGACTTAGTCTAATCAAAGATCAATTCTTCCTTAGAGTCTATTAAACCAAACAATTTTTAAAAAATATATTTTATTGATTTTTTTACAGAGAGGAAGGGAGAGGGATAGAGAGCTAGAAACATCTATGAGAGAGAGAGACATTGATCAGCTGCCTCCTGCACACCCCTTACTGGGGATGTACCCGCAACCAATGTACATGCCCTTGACTGGAATCGAACCTGGGATCCTTCAGTCCACAGACCGATGAACCATCTACTGAGCCAAACCGGCCTCGGCAAACCAAATGATTTTTGAAAGAAAAGGAAAACACATTAAAAAAACAAAACAAAAAAATTTGACATCTGGCTTTCTGCTGTATAACAACTATAGGTAATTAAACTGGAAAGATCTATGAAATTTTAGGTGGGAAGCTTATCAATTTAAAATATTACTGGTCACATATGTTAGACAAGTAGTACAAAAAGTTGGGCTTTTTCTTCTCTCATAGTCTAATTGTTTATCTGCAATTGGATCCATGGGTCCTGGGGATATTGGACCACCAAAAACAGAAATGCATAAAGGTAAGTTATTTAATAAAGTATATAGGCCAAAATAATTAGTACAATCTTTTCTTTGGGAACAAAAGTATAAGGGGAGTAATACTAACACTAGCACTTATCAATGATGACTTCAAATAATTATAGAAATGATGAAGTCATTTACATATAAAGATACTGATTATTCTACTATTGCAGGTAAGTTGTTTTTATAATTATGGAAATTAATTTGCCTTGAATTATTCACATGTTTTAACATATTTCCTGAGATAGAAAACCTCAAAGTGATGTATGGTTAAATAACTAATAACTTAGAATCTAGTTATCAAGATGCTTAGCTTTTTAACCTTCTATTCTGCTATGTTCTGGCAATGTCACATAATTTATTCATTATTTTATTCAATAAATATTTATTGAGTATCTATTATATACCAGGCAGAATGATCATCTCTGAGACTACAATAGAAATCAAAATAGAAAAGATCTCTGCCCCCATTAAGCTGATGGTCTTTGCAAAACAATAAAAAAACTATACAATTTTATCTTATATTTAAATGTTTATAAATTAAACCCATGCGTTAACTTATACAGTCACAGGTCCAATAAACTGGAATAAATATTGTTGGATATGTTCCCAGCATTTTAGACTATACATTTTCACAGAGGTGAACATTTTATACATCTTAAAAAATATAGAAAGTTTTAATTTAGCTAAGACTATAGAAAGCTCTCACCAATTTAGCTAATTATAAATGATTTTATCTGAAATAAAATTATTTAAAATAATGGATAAAAATAAGGTCTGAGGGGATGATTTTAAAATTTCAGTTATTTTTGCTCAATGTACTCAGAGTCTATTTACCTCATTATATATATGAAATTAGGCTTTCAAAGCCCATGCTAGACAGAAACAGATAATTCAATAAATTAGCAGAATTAAAAACCTGACAATCAGGTGCATTTGGGGGAGATGCTTAAAAGGACTCCAAATAATGTTGTATTCCAAATCTGGCTCTCTATTTGTGTCCTAATAGTTGGAAAAAAACATAAGGTGGGTTTTGTGTGCCTATTTACTTTTAAACTTTTAAAGATATGTAGAAACTCATACATGTTCTCAGTTCTACTTAAGGATAACTGATAGAGATTTTCTTTATAGCCTATGTCTACATGAAGAAAATACTGGATTAAAAATTAACATTTTAAGTTTTTTTAATAGATGGTATATTTAAAAAATTATGTCAAAATTGAATGAAATATGTATCAAAGGACTTTTATACTAGTATGGTAAAACACAATGCATGATAATACATTTGTATCTAAATTGATTGATTGATTGATTTTTTTTCTTTTATATAAAATATTTTACATGTGATTCTCTTTATGTTTCAGAAAAATATAGTATTTATTTGCATATAATTATATACAATGTCATTTTATTTATTTTTTAAAAAATATATTTTATTGATTTTTTACAGAGAGGAAGGGAGAGAGATAGAGAGCTAGAAACGTCGATGAGAGAGAAACATCGACCAGCTGCCTCTTGCACACCCCCTACCGGGGATATGCCCGCAACCAATGTACATGCCCTTGACCGGAATCGAACCTGGGACCTTTCAGTCCACAGACCGACGCTCTACCACTGAACCAAACTGGTTTCGGCTACAATGTCATTTTATACATTATATATTATGTTATTAGATGTGTGTATATATACATATATATATATTCAGTATATGAAAGAGAGAGAAGAAAGGAGGGAGAGAGAAGGATGGAGGGAGGAAGGGAGTAACTAGATACATAGATATCATAATGCTATCATTCATTATCTCTAGGTAGTTGGATTATAGATTATTTTATTTATTTAAATGCCTTTTCCAATATTTTACAATTATTATTATGATTCTATGATGTATCGGTTGCATGTTGATTAAACTATTTAATCAGTTGTTATTAATTTAGATTTTTTAACCAAAATAAAAAATGTTTTACTTTAATGATCACAAGCTAAGTGTAAAGAACAGGAGTGATTTTGAGGGGAAAATGGGCAACAGCTTCAGCTTTATCTTCCCTTTTTTACAGTTATCCCTCAAACCAGTAATGAAACTAGCGAGGACATCTGGAATCCAGAAGAAGTTCCAGAAGGAGCAGAGCATGCTGACATGTGGGATGTTAGAGAAATACCAGAGTAAGTCAAATGAAGCCAGGAATGTGTTCAAGGGTTTAAACTAGATGTGTCATCTGATATCATTCTATTTTTGACAAGATTCATAAAGTGACTTCTACCACATAAAAGATAAAACTACAGTGACACACAGAAGGCATGTGTAACTGGTTATTTTTTCTTCTAAAGCAGAAAAAAACCCCCAATAAAACATAAGACCTTCCTCTTGCTTATTATCTAACAAAAAATGAAAAACCCAGTAATTTCCATTATAAATTTATATTAAATGTCCATTATTTGTATAATGTAGAATTAAGAAAATAGTGTATTCAATTACAAGCATTCATAAAAACTAAATTATTATACCATGTTTATATGTGAAAGACATGCTTTTAGTTACCAGGTGTTCCACATTGCTTATGACTATAAATCTGTATCCAATGCTTTAAAAAATTCTGTGCTTCTATCTTTTTTCTTAAAATATATTTTATTGATTTTTCTTACAGAGAGGAAGGGAGAGGGATAGAGAGCTAGAAATGTCGATGAGAGAGAAACATGGACCAGCTGCCTCTTGCACACCCGCTACCGGTGATGTGCCCACAACCAAAGTACATGTACTTGACTAGAATCGAACCTGGGACCTTTCAGTCTGCAGACCGATGCTCTACCACTGAGCCAAACTGGTTTCGGCTGTGCTTCTATCTTTAAAGTCAGTTCTGAAAATAGAATCAGTAGGAGACTGCAAATAACTGGGAAAAAGTGCTCAACTTTTAAATAAACAATGTCAAAAATTTATAAACCTCATAAAAAACAACAACAAACAAACAAACAAAAAAACCTTCAGTCTGCATTTTCAGAATGAAGAGAGTAACCCTAGCCAGTTTGGCTTAGTGGATAGAACATCGGCCTGCAGACCAAAGGATCCTGGGTTCAATTCTGGTCAAGGCAGGCAACCAGTGGATATCTCTCTCTGTTTTTCCCTCTCTCTTCTACCCTTTCTGAAAATCAATGGAAAAATACCCTCCAGTGAGGATAAAAAAAGAAAGAAAAGAAAAGAATGGAGAGTAAATCTCACGTTTATACATAACACGCACATATCCATATGAAAGGTAAGAATTAGATCACTCATTTGTTATATTGTCTAATAAATGTCAATTGTCCATATGTGGCAAGCTCCAAATTAGAGTAAACTCTCACTTTTCCTGATGTTTGAGATTCTGTAGAAAGAACATCCATGAAAGCTTTATGGGAATGCTAGTAAGTCACTCATTCAAGATATGAAGAAAATGGCTTTTAATGTTTTTAAAAAGTATGCATTTTCAATCTTATGCAATTATATTTCAAATGTCCCAGTGATACAGAGGAAAATGAGTAAAGAACATGGACAGGTTGTTCACAAAAGAAGAATGACTAGTAGACAAATAAAAAATTATAAAGGCCTGATCTAAGTCACTGGCCTCAGGGAAAAGCATTAGGGTCGTTATTTGAGAGATTTTTAAGGCAGATTTGATATTTTGATTAGATATAATGAATGAGAGGAAAGTGTAAAAAATGATGCTAAGGTTATTATCTTGGGTGACTGAGTTATGAATTGTGGGCCCATTAATTGTAATTGGGAATGTATGTGGAAGGGAAGCAATGAGTTTGTTTTTGGATGTGTGAACAATGTGGTGCCTTTGAGATATCCAGGCAGATACATACAGTAAGAAGTTGGAAAATTGCTTCTGGAGATGAGAAGAGCAGCAGCTAGAGCAAATCTATTTGGGAATCATGGACATATGGGTCAATACTTTTCTATTTAGTTTTATCCTGGCCTAATCTTTATAAATACATGATAGATGTTATAGTCTACTAAGGAAAAAAATGACCCATATCAAATGGCTACTTATTGTCAACTCTGTTTCAACTCAGAGAAATCCCTTTTTCATTCCTTGGCATCAAAAGTTCAATGTAATCTTTTAGTCTTCATGTCCAGAGATTTACCATTTCTTCATTAGGATAGAATTATATACAAAAGATCATTTGTAAATGTTTGTTTACTTCATTCCATCTAAAATGATAGAGTATATTTTGGCTGGGTGCTTCTATAAAACATCCAACCTCTAATGGCCCAAGTTTGGGCCCAAGGAAAAATTTGTGAATTGTCATGCATAAGCTGAAATACAGGAAAAATTTTCATTGAACTAAGAATTCTATATGACTTGATTCAAAATATCATAGTGTAGATGTGTTGACTACATTACCAGTGTTTCTATTGTAGAATTTTAGAGGTGGAAAAGATAGAAATCATTTAATTCAAATCTACCCCTTCTACATTGTAAAAATGTAGAAGCAGAGACTCCATGGGTTTGTGGCTTTACCAAGGTCACACAGTTAGTGACAGAAATGGTATGAAACCTGGATTGTTGAACTCTACTTTGTGGCTTATATTTAGCAGAGGAAAGTTTCTGTCTATCCATCAAACTGGGTATTGGTCCCACTATTTTCCTGTGCCACTGTTTTTCTGGAAAGAACCTTCCTTTTTTCTTCTACATTGAATTTTATTAGACTCTTATTAGAAATTCCCTCAATCTATTTTATATGTATAGATCTAAAACAGTTAAGCTTTATTTTAGAAAAAAAAGTATATATGATATAAATTCTGCTTTCCAGTGTTAGGCATTTTTAGTGGAATTTCTAGACTTCTATTCCTTTATGTTCTGCTATATGCCTGAAAAAGTGCAAGTATTTTATTTAGTCCTTTTATTTTTTTTTTTGTAATGGCACTTTTCTCATAAGTTTCTAGTTTTCTGCTCTATGACAGGAAATTTCTCTTTCATTTGAACCTCTGTATCAATGAATTTTTTTCAGGTATGATATTATATACAAACAGCAGGTGGGAACTGAGGATGTATTCCTAGGACTTACGAAAAAAGACACGTCAACAGCGTGTTGTGAGGATCTAGTGGTAAGCTTTTCCCCACTTCCCCATTTTCCTTATGATCTTTATAGCTAAATTGACTGTTGCATACATAACACTGTAGGCAAGGCTGTAAACTCTTTAAAAATAGTGGTTGCTATACTTCAAGTACTAAGGGAATAATGGGATAGACAGTTTAAATTTGGTAAACATGTTCAAAATAAATTAACCTTACACATATGGGTAAGATTTACAAATAAACATAATATAATCATGACATAATACACTATTTCTAGTTCTATTAAAACTTCCCAATCTGATTGAACTGAATTTCTTTAATCCTTCTTCTATCTCATGTATGCCATCTGATTGGTTAATAATGTATCATGAGTTGACAGGCAATGAAAATGAAATATTTTCTTTCCTGAGTTTGTCTTATCTCTTATGTCTGTGTTTCTTTTAATGATCCATCTTGAATTGGGAAGTTTAAAAAGGGATATTTTTCTTAATATTTGGAACTTCTGATTTAAAACTTTTTAAAAAATCTAAAGTGTAACTTGGCTCCCTAATCTGAATGACACTACACCATATTGGAGAGCATCTTTTGCCAAGCCACTGTTCTTATGTAATTACAATAACAATACCAACAATATGAGTTAAAACGACCTTATTTTTGTTTATTTGAGCCTCATAATGATCTTGTTGAAAGGTCTGGGTATAACTAAGAGTGCAGAATGCAACTCATTTTAACAATATACACTAGTAATTTTGTTGCTGAGAATGTTTTTTTTTTTAGATCTGGGGCTGTGCATCTTTTTCTTTCCTTTTCTTTTTTTATTTTTATTTATTTATTTATTTAAAATATATTTTATTGATTTTTTTACAGAGAGGAAGAGAGAGGGACAGAGAGTTAGAAACATCCATGAGAGAGAATCATCGCTCAGCTGCCTCTTGCACACCCCCTACTGGGGATGTGCCCACAACCAAGGTACATGCCCTTGACCAGAATCAAACCCAGGACCTTTCAGTTCGCAGGCTGACGCTCTATCCACTGAGCCAAACCGGTTTTGGCTTCTTTCCTTCTCTTACAATACTGTATAGTATAGGATACTGAGGTGCCCATAGGAGATGCTTAATATTTTCCCCCTTAAACAAATGATAAATGGAATTTCTCTTTTGCACCAACTTCAGGCTTTCTCTTATTAGTTAGATCAAGTAATAGAATTTGAATAGTGATTTTAAGTACCTCAGATTTTTCAAACTTGAATGAGTGAAGGTTTCAAGTAATCTTGAAGTAAATAGCCCCATAGTTTGTTAATCTTCACATGAGGATAATTTTTCCCCATTGATTTTTTTGTTTTGTTTTAAGAAAGAGTATAAGGGAGGGGAAAGAGACAAAGAGAGAGAAACATCGAGAACAGATAGAATCAGCTTCTAACAGTTGCACAAGGAGTACAGATTAGCAAGCTAAGGGGTAGCAAAACTCTAAAAGAAGGTAAGGGTCCTTTGGACAGGATTTCATGACCAAGCAGCCAGCGCTGCGGTGGTGGAGACCTCTCCCAGAGCTATGGACTCAGAGGGAAGGCTGCTCCATCTTACCAGGAAAGGAGGATCTTCTCTGAGGCCTGGAAAACCCACAGCCTAGGAGACCATCGAGCAGCTGTGACGCCCCAGTGTAAACACATGGATTCAAGGGAGTTCTTCAATCACCCACGGAAAGGTCAGAGTTTGCAGAGAAAACATGAGGGTTCTGAGTCACCGCGGCGCAGGCAGCGACTGTACCCATGGTGCGCCCCAGTGGCCCCAAGCCCCCAGAGGCCCCGAGCCCCCAGAGGGCTCGAGAGGCCCCACTTCACAGCGGTCCTGCGCCGCCACCGGTGGTCCCAGCCCCACCCCGCCACCAGCGGCCCCCGCGCCCAGAGCTGCGCCAAAAAGAGACAGGGGCTGCAGGGAGAATCGCACACTGCAAGACCCAGTGCTGGGTTTGGCGTGATCTTTCCTAAAATCGGGTCTTTAAACAAACAAACAAACAAACAAACAAACAAACAAAAAACAAGGGACTCGGGACAAATTGTTAAGAATCGGGACTATCCCGTCAAAAGCGGTACATCTGGACAACTTGGCACAGACCCAGCCTGCGCCTGATCCCCCTCACCCCCTTGCTTCTGAGTACTAGGGAAGGACTGCCCAGTTTGGCATGTCTTGGAAGACTGCAGGGGGAAATTGCCTTCCTGGAAACAGGGGATCAGAGCAAGAAGAAATAATCTGGGAAAGGAGTCAATCTGGGAGCCTGCACCCAGGCAGCTTTCCTCCACAAAACATAGAGCCATAGAGAAAGAAGGCTAGAGCAGCCAAAAAGACTGGGACGTCAAACCAGAAAAACTGCCACCTAGGGGCTGAAATACAAACTGATCCCCCCTTTTTTTTAACCTTTCTTTTTTTTATTATTTTATTTTTTTAATTACTTTTAATTAATCAAAAGTAAATGGACACAAAGAACTAAGAAATAGCCTACTTAAAATTAAGGACTAGCTTACAAAACTGAGGTGCAGTGGAACGCAGGGATCTGCAATACTGTCTGGACTGAGAAATAAGCGTGCCAAATATAATAACAGAGGAAGTGAATGACCACTACTGCACATTTTTTATGCTAATTTCTCTATTTTGTATTTTATTTTCATCTTTTACATCTTTTAGTTTATTTTCATTTTTTATTATACATCTTTTAATTAAGAAATGATTTTTTTTCTTTTTTCCTCACTTGATTTGACCTTTGCAATTATTACATTTTTCAATATCAATCATCATTATTACTACTGCTATTTTGCATGTTTTATTTTTTTGTGTGAGTGTGTGGGTTTTTTTCCTTACCATTGTAATTTATTTTTATTTTACATTTGGACTAGTCTTCATTCTATTTTAATCTCTACTATAGCATCATTCAACTCTACCTCAATTTGACCTTTATGCCATCATTCTCTTACTAACCTTTACCCTTTTTATCTCCTGTTTATCTTATTCCTTTCCGAATTTAGTTTTTTCCTATTTTTCTGTATACCCCCTGCTAAAATTCTCACCATACTTATAGACCAAATTTTCAACCCCCTGCTCCAAGTGCATAAATATGACTCTCTCTTCGCTATATTAACTAGTTAACAAAAGAAAGAAAAAAAAACAAACAAAAAAAACTTGTCCTCTCTATACTTTTTGTTATTGTTTGTGTGAATGTTGATTATATAGAATTTTTATGCTTTTTAATGAAATTGATATGCTTATTCTTTTGTTGTTATTGTTGCATAGTATTTTTTAATTGCTTTGTTTTTGTTTATTTTTAACTTCTGTTTATTGTAGCCTTGCTTAATAATAGTGGATATTGTAGTTTGTATTAATCTCCAAGTATTGTTTCGGGCATTTGCGGGGATTAGTGGTTGTTCTATGGGAATTTTCTCCATATATATATAAAGCAACAAGCAGACTGTCAAATTACAGTGGGGAGGATAGGAAGATCTGGGGGAGATAAGAGATTAACTGAAGGACTTGTATACATGCATATAAGTACAACCAATGGACATAAAACTCTGGGGAGGTAGGTTATGTATGGGGGGGTGGGTAATGTTAAAATATGTACACAGATAATAATTTAATAAAAGAAACAAAGAGAGAGAGAGAAACATCGATGTGAGAGAGAAACATCCATATGAGAGAGACCACATCAATTGGTTGCCACCAGCATGTGCCCTGAGCAGGGCCAGAGATGGAGCCTGCAACCAAGGTACTTGCCCTTGACTGGAATCTGTCACCCTTCAGTCCACTGGCTTAAGCTCTTACCACTGAACCAAATTGGCTAGGGCTAGATTCCAGGATTTTAGCAGTAATATTCAAACTCTTCTCCTTAAATCACTATAAAATTATGTTTTTTTATTTCTAGTTTTAAGGATTGATTTAAATTCTAGGCCCTAAATAAATAAAACTGTTATGGGACTTTTCATTTCTCTCATGCAAATTGCTACAAATATCAATAGTAAAGGTATACTGAATGGCAAATCTTGGAAACTAAATCACACCATAGAATAGGAATATACAATTTATCTAAAACATAACAAGTATATACAAAAAAATACTTGATCCCTCCCTCTAATAAATTTGTAATGTCTCATTTTATTATTAACAATTAAACTCAATGTTGACAATTGTATATCTACAGGAAGTTAAAGGGTTTGGTTAAGGACCACTGAATGACAGCAGCAAATGAAACATTTGTTGGTGCTATGGCACTTTACCACATTATACTATTCTGTTACTCCTTCCTTTTTAATCATATATTCAATTTTTGAAGACAGTGAATACTGCTATATAACAGGCACTATCCTTTGTACTAGGGATACAGAGATAAGTAAGAAACAGTTAATTAGCCTCAAGGAATTTCTAGTAAAGGAGATGGATACCTAACAAATCATTGCATCAGTACATATTTAGAGATATATATCAGGCACATGATGACATAAAGCAGAAAGAGAACAATTCTTTTTAGGCAGATAGGATTTCTATGGTGGACAACATTACAAGAAGGATCTTCCAAGCAGAAATAAGAGCACATGGAATGGTAACCAGGCATGAAATACCATGGCCTATTTGAGTAAGCAGTGAATATAAAAAGGAAAAAGCCCTCATTTGTAGCTTTAATTTTGAATTTTATCCTGTAGGCATATCAATTATGACATCCACCATTATTGCTAAACCCCACTAGTAAGACTAAGACTAAAGAGGTTGTTGACCCCACCTCAAGTATTTCTTGCTCAAATTTATAAGCTTATTATTTCTGTTGATAATATGGCATTTTCTCAAATCTAAAAATCATCAAATTGTAACTGTGCCATTTATTTAATAACAAAGGAAAATAGATGTGCTATACCTAATGTATGCATTGATTATGTGATGCATCCTAATATCAGAAACATTAAAATGTAGGAAAATTGACAACTTAGAATTGACTAAATATGTTACTTAGATCCTGGACCTGATTTATATGTACCAGGAGTGATTTGGGG